AGGTCTATGAAATGCTCTTGAATTTCCTGATAAACGTCCTCCTTCACAGAAATCCGATAGAGATTGGAACAGAGAATATCACGAGGAAGGTGGCGGACAACCTTCTCGAAGGCATAGTACTCTGGTTGAAATAAGGTGTCGCGAGGTGGTGTCTTCAGGTGCAAGAAAAATTCGCGAGGAATGCGCAGAGGTACAGACACCAGTTGATCATCGACGGATACCCATAGGGTGAATCGCCCGGGAATCTTGCTGGGACGGATTTGCACAATGTCCCATCGCTGTGTTGTGCGAACCCGGGCACCTTTGAATATGGAGGGCATGATAGTGTCACCAGTGTTTCCCCAGCGAGCATTCCGCTGTTTCTTCCATCGTGGTCTCATGGCCCTGATCCATGCGGAATAGCTGATCGTAGGGTCAGGAAGTGGAGCTTCGTCGTCTGATATTTCTTCGTCGGGCTCAGGCGTCCGTTTACGGGATTTCCGATTTACAATGGCAATGCGCGGGCGTTCCAAGGTCTTATCTTGTCCAAAATCCTCCATGTCCAGTTCTGTGTCAATTATTAGAGCCTGGGACTGCGAGTCCGCAGTAGCACGCGTGAAAAAGTCGGTAACTTTGTTCTGCTTGAACTTGTCTACAGCACCTGCAACGCGACGATGCAGCCAGTCAGGGTGACGGATACGAGGAACAGGGTTTGAGACTTTCTGCATCGCGGCAGGGATGGTGATAAGCTTCTGGATAACTGAACCCAAGCGCTCCACGTAGTACTCCCAGTCGAGGATAGATCTGAGGTCGAAGGTGCAGAGGCTGTTGTCTTTGAGCCATTTTCGCAGGTAAGTGCGCTTGACACTCTCCTCTGCTGAGAATATAGCAACAGGAACCGCCCGCTCCGTAACTGGCGCTCCGCTGGGCTTCGCGGAAATGATAAACTTACAGGCGAGACCTTTGTCTTTGACCATCTGGTCACCAAGGAACTCGGCAAGTCGCTTAGCGGTGCTGATAGAGGTCGATTTCTGTCCTCCGTACTCTGCCAACGTCTTGGACATGCTACGGTTCTCGGCAATGAGTTCAACGAGCTCCTCATCGGTCAGTGTGTCAGCCTTGCTATAGAGGATATCGAGCCACTGATTCGCAACCTGCGCAACCGCGCCATAGCATTCCTCCGTCGTCGTTCCCAGAAGAAATTTCTCGAAGATCTGTGACTGGAAGATTTTGATCAACTGAAGCTCTCCCCGGCGCTTCACCTCGAACCCCTTCAGCTCCGCAAGCGACCCATCGTCATTAAAGACTGCATACCGCTTCTTTAACAATTTGTCCTCCTCCTTCGACGATGGGAGAATCATAGCTTTATACGGCCCATCTAGTTCGAAGAAAATGGAGTTCTCGCTGTGCACGATGTACTCCCCGGTTGAGGCGTCCAGGTCATGGTACTGGTGGTTGGTAAAGCGGGCGTACACAAGGTGGTTGAGCATCGTACACGGGTAGGAGAACCCGATGGCTTTCCCGTTCTTCAGTTTGAATTTGAAGTTTTCCGGGAAGACACCAGGAAGCATGCACCAAATTCCATCTGTATCGAGCTCCAGCGGGCGACCGATCTGCTCGACGAGCGCGCGCGCCATCTGGATGATCGTTGCGCCTGTAAGACAGGTGATTCCTGCCATCTCCATGGAGTGCCACCGCGCACCCTTGCGCATCACGTATCCGTAGAACGAGTTAAGGATACATTTGTGTGCAAGCTGCAGGGAGTCGTAGAGCACAATCATCTTCTTTGCCTCATCGACCTCTGCGATTGAGCGTCCCTCGCTGATCACGGCGTCCAAATTCTTCTTCCATGTTTTGTGCAGCCCCTTGTACTCATACCGACGGTCACGGAAACGTCGCACTGTGTCGACATAGAAGGGGTTCTCCCGCTGACATACGATCGATTCTCTTGTCTCCACCCTCGTATCCTTGATCTTCTTGTACACCTTCCGAGAGTAGTCACCCAGGCGTTTATGCAACAATGCAGTCTGCTCCGCGTCTGTCAAGTCTGGGAATCGCCTCTGAGGGCCCCCAGGCCTCTTCGGGGGAAAGGTCTCCTGATTTAGTGCGTGCCTAATCATGTTATACTCGTCCCTCCTCGCAGGAAAGAACTCTCCCCTCCATGCCCACTCGAGCCGTCGATCGCATGACTTTCCGGGACGGTTGAAGTCGCACACCGCGCATACAGACTCATCGACCACCGAATCTGGCTGCAAACGGTTTGAAAGCATGATGTTTGGGTACATCGCTGCAACATCCAAGTGGTAAATTAACGGCTTGTCCGTGCGCTTTGGGGTATCGCGTAATACTTCGAGCGCCGACTGTATCTGCGACTTAACCTCATCATAGTTGGTCACATCTTCCAAAGAGGATTTGGACTCCTCGGTGATGCAGAAGGTGAGTGCGGCATCAAGGTCGTCGATGAGCTGTTAAACGTAAGTCTGAGGTGGATCGCACTGTGACAGGAAGCTTACTTGTTGTACAGCTGCGGGCACGATCTTGAAGTCTGTAAGGATATCGCTGCGGAATACGCCGGCTTCGAGTGCCTCCACGTGACCTCCGACATACGTCTCTGATGCAAGTAAGTGGCCTTCGAACATGTTCAGATGCGCATCCTCGTGGCGGTTTGGCATGATGATATGCCCACGGTATGCCTCAACCTAGTTCATGTGTGAAGTCAGCTATAATTGAAAGCCACGAAGGCCTCGGACATACCATTAGGAGCGTCTCGCAAAGCGTGCCACTTCCTTTTCGCAAGACCTCGTCCGGACAGAGCGGAATGATGTTGCATAGTGAGAAAATGAAGGGGTGCACGTATTTCATGTACAAGTAGTATGTCGCTACCGCATCGGAGACCGAGTACTGCGCAAGGACCTGTGGTTGCTCCATCGCATAGCTACAAGGAATACGTCAACAATGTCAGGATTGAAATGCGATGAAAGTGAAACAACAGAAAAGTAGTGCCAAATCGAGAAAACTATTCAGAAGCGATATAGCACGTACACAGCTCAAACATAACATCATAAAGAGAGAGAAAAATAGACTCACGGTGTCATCAACTCCGGATCGAGTTCAATTGGATTGTACCCAAGCTTGGCTGTTGTGACTGCTTTCAAGCCCTGGCTTCCCTGTGGTAAATAGGAGTCCCGCTTTACCCACCTGAAGCAATCCATGTGCACGCATCCGCGGGACTTGAACTCATCCTCGTTATCCTTAGCGAACCCCGTCAGCAAGAACATGTCCAACCCGTTTGCCTTTGAGCGTTCAAAAAGGAACGGAAAATCGAAGAAGTCGCCGTTGAACGTTGCCATCACCGTAGGTTTCACATCCCTGATGTGGTTAAAAAAACGCATTATAGTAGCTGCCTGCGAGAAATGTGAGTCCGAGGTAAACACAGAGACGACAGGATCACCTCGTCCTTCTCATTGAAGATTATGAACGGACCCTCGTACCCCTCCTTCGGCGTATACTCAAAGTCATCAATATCCTCGCTTACGATCTCCCGGTTCGTTACTAAGAACCCCTGACCATCCACCATGTATGAGATCATCATCACCTGGTCCACCGCCGCATCTGGGAACTTCAGCGGCGCTTTCGTGGTCTCGATATCGAAGGCCATCACCACGGGATCCGCGCGTTTCACCTTCTCTGTCAACTGCACAAACGCAGGTTGTCCAGCTGTAAACGTGATTCCATACCATAATCCCACTCGCATCTCGTTGTCAATGGCTACTCGCAAGTAGTAAGGCACGTCAAACTCGCGGATATCCACAATGCATGACGGTGCATCTCGGTCCCTGTAATTTGTTGTATTGCTTCTGTTGATCTCCGCCCACTCCCCTTCAAGCTCTACACTCGTGCTCGCTGCCGCTACAACTTCGGCATACGCGTCGATCGCGTCTCGCTTTGCGCCGTTCGCAAGTGCGAGAGGGGCTATGTCCCGTCGCACGGCCAGAAGGTCGCTCACATTTCGAAAGCACAGCTGCATGTACAGACGACGATGGCCCATGAGGTGGTTGGGCAACTTCAAGTCCTCTTTCTTCTCCCGCACGATCCGTACAATCAAGCCTTCAAACCGCTTGTGTAACCACTCTTCAACAGAAGACTCTGACCCAGTCTGCAGAATATAGTTGATATCATAGACACCGGAAGCTGTAGAGACTCACCTTGCATGCGATGTAGAAGTAAGGCTCGTACTGCATTGTGCACTTGAACATTCCTCCGTCATCTTGAATGAAGTAAAAATCGACTGCCGCCTTTCCACCCGGGTAGTCCGCATCCTTTATTAGAGTCTAAAGGATGTTCACAGATGAATGACTTGGGTTCTTAGACACCAAACGCGACACTCACGGGATGCATGTTAATCAACCAGCCCTCCTTCCTGGCACCTTCTTGCACTCTCATGAATCCCAGCTTCTCGTCAATCTCATCGCTCTCTCTAACCCGTTCAAAGCGTTCTTCTAGTTGCGTGCCATCATCTTCCCGTTGCGGGGCTGGACCATCACCTGCTGCATTCGATCCGCCGCGACCACGTCCACGACCTCGTCCACGACCACGAAAGTGTGTGTTTCCGCGAGTACCGCCTCTGTACCCGCGACCTCTACCACTGGATGTGAGCCCAAAAGTACCTCGACCTCCGCGTGCCATCGAGTTTGTGGATAAACAATATCAAATTATCAATGGCGAAGACGGATACTTGTGACAACGCGTATGTGACATTTATCACATGACGCGACAAGGTCACAGCATGACTTGGTTCTTCCGAATCCCAAGTCTTCTTGAACAATGATGCAATGATTCACTGAAGAACTTTTCTCCATAGCTTGTCGCATATATCATAAACAACATCGGTACAATGTTGCCTATATTATCTCCTATGATTACACGAGCAAAGAGTTGTTCCAAGAAGACGCCAAACAACGAACAACCCTTCACTTGATCTTGTGCGGTGTCATGGGGTACGTAATGTTATGCTGGCACAATGCGGCTAGAATCAAAAAGATCATCAATTATTTAATGGTCGGTTTATCAATATAACTTTGTACTTACTCATCATCTGACTTTGACCGGCCAGCCCATTGATATCCTTTTACTATCAAGATTATGTTCAAAGCGAGATGTCTGACCGTCATAGAAATCTAGACTTGCCAGGAAATAGTTCATCAACAATGACGAAATCAGCAGTTGGTGCGATTCTGGCTATCGCCCTTGCTGCCGCGTCGTCCATAAGAGCGTCGCCGCCTGGAGCAGTCGTGCGTCGACAATGGCAATTGTGTAGTGCTAAAATGCATCTAAACGTCTGCCCTCCCAGTACATCGACCCTTTACAATACAATGTTGTGGGAGCAAACTACACAAAATGGCGCAACTCGTCCCTTATTGGTTTTAACCCCACCAACAGTGCACCCCCATTCATTCAGGTCTTTGACCCTTCATTCCTCGATGTTACCGGACCATCTGCCACCATTCGCGAAATTGCTTCGAATCCTGGCTTTGCTTTTGCCCATGAAGCGCCCATCTACGTTCCAGATCTCAACTTGGTCTTCTTTGCAAGCAATGGCGGTGGCGCACTTGGGTACAGTGGCTGGTATAACAACAGCGTTGTTAGCATGATCAACATGACAGAAGTCGACATGGCGCTGACTTCTACGCCTGGAAATGTCAATATCCAGGCTTCAAACAGTGGGTCACTCCCGCTTGATCATTGATGCTTAGCCATCCCGACTCTCAGCTCAACCTCTCCGACAACGTCCAAATGGTCAACGGGGGAACAGGCCCATACAAGGGAGACCTTCTGTTCGTTACCTCAGGCCGCGCTTTGCTTCCGCCTTCTGTTGTTCGCGTCAATCCTAGCCCTCCCTACAATACCACTGTTATTCTGGACAACTTCTTAGGCAGACAGTTCAATTCGCTCAATGATATCAAAATTCTCCCTGGCACGGACATCATGTTCTTCACCGATCCTGCGTGAGCAATCGATGAGATCATTATATCTCCAATGTTAATGACTTCTCCAGCTATGGGTGGCTAAACGGTTTCCGTCCTGAACCAATGTTACCATCACAAGTATACCGCTTCGATCCATCGACTGGGCAGGTCAGAGTTGTCGCTGACCAGTTTGTGCACCCGAATGGTATTGCGTTCGCGCCAAATGGCAAAACTGCATTTGTGTAAGTTTGGTTTTTTCTCTCTCGTGTTTGTGGATTAGAATAATGCATCAGCACCGACACGGGTATTTTTGGAGGCTTCCTCGGGACAAATCAGACCTTTCCAGCCACAATGTTAGTTTTCGCACCTACAACGATGGTAATCAGATACTCAAGCGAATTCTAAAGCTATCAGTTCGACGTCGACCCAACGACGCAGTCGTTCATGAATCGTAGAGTGTTCGCCTACAGCGACTCTGGTGCACCCGATGGCATTCAACTTGATACCAAGGGCAACGTTTATGCCGGCTGCGGCGATGGTATTAATGTCTGGAATGGGGAAGGCATGCTCATTGGGAAGTTCTATCTAAACAGCACCACAGCCGAGCTGATGTTCACGAAGTCTGGTCTCGTTATTTTGGAGGAGACGGCGATGTATGTGACAAACATCCAAGCTCGTGGAATGACTCTAGCCACGTGGTAGCTTTCTGTGTACTGCCATGCTTGTCACGAATTTGATGCATACTGTGATACTACGTAGCTGTTCTGTGAGGTGTGGAGACATACTAGAGTGTGACAGGTCACATGGCAAGCACATATTTTGAGAATATTCAGAGGTTTTTGGTGGGTACAAATATATGTAAACGTGTTGCGTCCAAATCAAGGAGTGAGCCAGACTCCAAACCAATCAGCGGTGTGTACACTGTCAGTTGCCGAAAACCTATTGTAGAGCCCAAAAATGGACAATGTGTCAATGAGCCCTGAGATATATTTATAATATATTTTTCTCACTATCTGTGTGAGAGATTTGGTTTAGAGCTATTCGAGAGCTGGGAAGCAGCCTATACAAGATATATCATATATAGCAGCGTTCTGAAAAAGTAAACAAAATTTTAAAATGAAACAGGGAAGGTTCAAACTCAAGCATTCCGCTTGGAGCATTCTAAGTTCACAATGAAGCTATACCGTTAAGCTATCAGTTCTTGTATATCTGATGTTGCTAATAGTATATCATCACCTCTAGGTCATCTCTTCACAAATTTCGCTAAGTCTCGCAGCGCAAGCATCTTGATCAGTGTAACATCTACCATACACAAAGCAGTTTTTCAGAAATTTAAGTTCTATATGATGCCATTTGCCTTCAGTATGCTCAGGGAAATAGAACTTGGTGTATTTTGTGTAGGATACACATAGTGAATACTAGCAAGCTACCTTGACTCCATTAATGAAATTCTAGCTAGGATGTTCATGCGAGCTTTTTTATAGGTATACCATAGATCTGATGCTTAGACCTATGCACTAGCCCTGAATTGGACCAAATTTGAGCTGTAATCAATCTGTTGCGCAGGTCGGGAAAAAACCTTTGGTAAATATCTGATCTATTAGCTTTACAGCATTATTTATTTATTTATGTACCATGTCTATATTCAACCTTGTATCTGCCTGGTTGCCGGGTGTTGTAAATAGTTTTCTCACTATATCGCTACAGCCTAAAGCGGCTGCTGGTGGTGTAGCGAGTCTTCATCTCAGTACTTAGTGCCAAATATGTACATACAAAAATTATTTCAAACACCGCAACTTTGGACTCTTACACACCTAGCCAACTTCCTTTTGAACAATGGATCAAGCCGTCAGGTACACCAGACAAAGAGGCATGTGATTGGTTAGTTCCAGACACTAACACTTTTAGTTCGGCAATCACCACCACCACCGTTACAGTGACTCCATGTGATGTCACAATGCCAAATTGAGTAATTCTGTTGCAGTGAAAATTTTCACTAATGCAGGAGAGACGTGTCTTGATATTCACGTGTCGTTGACGCGTCATATGCAATATAAGAAGGTAGAAACATGCATGTATTGATTCCTAAGTAGTACTATGCAATTGGAAGCAATGAAAACATCAAGTAGCGAGTGTAAGAATGCAAAATCATAGCAAGTGAGAGTGAGCTTGCAATTGTGAAAGCATGCGAAGGAACAAAAAAAAACTAGACAGAAGTACAAGCTTTCTTTGCATTTGCGATGCCAGCGCTATTAGTCTTCTGCTTGCGAGAACTAGACCCAACTTGAACATTTTCCTTCTCACCCTCAAAAAGAGGCATAAGCCATTGCGCCATCGGAATATTCGCGTCTTCCTGTTCGAGAGCAGTCAGTGTGAAGGAGGTGAGGATCTGCACAGGGAGAGGATGTCCAATGAGCTTCTCTGGGTGCGCATACTGAGGATGGAGTTCTTCAAGATGCTGGATCATGTTGTAACGCCAAACAGCATCAATGAAGGGAGCAACAGTGCAACTTTTCTTGCCGGTGACGGGCGCCAAAGACGGGTGACACAACTTGCATTTGAGAGGGACATTGCGACAGGGCCTGTTGTTCGAGCCAATGTCAGCATTTGGGTACCAGAATGTGTGGGCATAAGGGCAGGATGATTCGACCTTCGAAACGGCACCACTCATCAGTAAACTAATATGCGCTGTACAGAACTGTACAGAACTGGACAGCACCCAAGGGTGACAGCTTGGTCCCTTTGTGACAGTAACTCACAGATGCACCCATTCTGTGCCACACTGAACAGAATCTCACAGGCACTCCAGTGACTGTCTCGTGCACAGAATATGTGCTTAAATTTAGGTGTCACTCTGCATAGAGGCTTACAGACCTACTTGTACACAAAACTCAGCCAGATATGTAGTAGCATAATAGATCTAGTGATGTTCCGGCTTGGCTTCAAGCCCCGGGCCAGGCCAAGCCAGGCCTGATTGAGCCAGGCCCAGCCCAGGCCTAGGACATGGGCTGACCAGGGCTTTGGCCTAGGCTTCAATTTTGCGAAGCCTAAGCCGCCGGCCCAAGCCATGGCTTAGCAGTGCACTATCTATTTTGGTATGTGAGTTTCTGTTTCTGTTTATGTTGCCATCTGGCGATTGGTATCAGCTTCTCAGTCGATCATACCATGAGGTATGTCAGAATGAGATCACAGTGAGTTGCTGTTGTCATGTTATTAAAGCTCACTGATATTTACCCTGGTCTTGAAAAGCAAACATTCAGCAATCCATGCGCCTCTACAGTCTTGCCTGGCGCTTCAACTTCGCTGCCTTCGCAAACTTAATCTGTTTTGAATCACATTTGATTTTTTATATGTGGTATATGTATATGTGTTGTATCTACCTAGCAGCCTGCAATGACCAGCACAGTCCACACAGATAGTGAAGATGAACCTATCGTGCATTCTCATCCCATACGCAGGATCAAACCCACTGCTGCTCTCCTCCAACACTCGGAGAAGGCCGCCCTTCCATCCCAAACCAAAGCCATCAATGAATTCCGTGCCGTGGAGGCAGCCAAGCGTGCTTTGGAGGTTTCTGCCCAACCCAAGCCCATGCCTCCCCCACCCACAGCTATTCCCTCATCCAATGTGCCTCCCCCACCCTCACCTATTCCCTCGTCCAACAAACACTTGCATCCTGATGATGCCTTCGTCGACATTGAAGATGAATCTGTTGATGAAGACCATGACTCGGTCTGTGAGAATGCTCGTACCAACCCTAAGCCTTGTAGAAAGAAACAGAAGGCCCCAGAGAAGTTCCCCGAGTTGGTTGATGGAGAAGGGGTTCTCATCGACATTGATGTCTCTATTGCAGACCCAGGATCGTTGAAGGTACAACAATTCAGATGGTGAGTCTGAACAATGTTGGGTCTTGCAAGACCTAGCTGCTATTCGACCCTAAAGGGTTTCTGGACTAGGCTTAAGGCTCAGAGGAGAGGAAATATCATAGAAAACTGCTGAGCACTCAGACTCATACTGATACTGGTGAAAAGATTGCTTGCTTATGTAAGCTACAAAAGTGCCAACATAAGGTAAGGTAAAAACAGTCTCTACAAGCCCAGCCAGAAATGAATCCTTACATTGTCTTGGGAAGGCAAAACTGCCAATATCAATGCATTCTTTGGAGCGACATTTGAGCAAACCGGGGCCAATGGCAAAGTGAAGAAACACTGAAAGTGCAGTGTTTGCCCATAAGTCTACCTTTGTACTCTCATACTACTCACTCACTCGTTTGTAGGAAAAAATGTGTCCTCGTCAATGAAATCACCACCCTTCATCGCCATGCTGAGGCCCATTTTTCCAGCAAGTATTGCAAATGGGCAAACCAACATTCATTTGAATCAATGTTACCTGGCGACGTTGTAGAAACAACAATACAGAGAGGAACAAATGAAGCTGCTAACTGTATCTAAAAATGTTGTAAGGTCGCGCGTCGCCTAGTCTGCGTTACCTGAGGAGACAAGTGCGTTCGACCCTAAAGGGGAAGCGAGTGCAGCGAAGATCTAGAGGTATGCGCTGAAGCAAAGCGCGAGAAAGCGCAGGTGCACGCAAGGCACAAAGGCGCAGGAACGCACGTGCGTGCGGAAACAATAGAGGTTAGACTTAAGTGATAATATGATGCAAGATAAGAGAAAAGAGATGTGAAGTATAGACAAAATGGATTTCTACTATGTTCTTCTAGGCAGATAGTGGGTGGAAAGTAAAGTAAGGTAAGGTAAGTTGTAAAAAATGGAAAGTTAGTTGAAAAAAGTAAGTAATAGTATGTACTGCTGGCACTTATATAGCATGCCTAAGCGCGGTCATGTGGAGCCGAAGCGCTACCAAGTAGGTATGTAAAGATATATATAAGTAAGGGTCCATTATAAAAATAGAGGTGGAATGATATGCTAATAAAAGAAATGGAAATATATGCACTAGAGGGTTTGGTGGACAGTGGATGGATGCTTCTGGATGGCTGGCGCTATAGGGCGCTCAAGCGTGGGAACACGCACGCGCATATACATCGCGAAGCGCGGGAATGGTGCGCGCATGGCGCGCGTTGTGCAGGAAAGTTGCACCTCATATAGGGATAGCTGCGGGTAGCGCACGGAGTGACACTACAAGTTCATGCTATGTACTCCTTGGTGGGAACTGCCATATCATGCCATGAGAGGCATGAGTCTCTACAACGTGAAGGCTTGCAAGGAGAACGCTGCGCAGCAGAGGATCAATGCTCATCTCACTGAACTTAAGGCCGAACGAGTCATACCATATTCTGACAAGTTGTTCAGACAAGCTGCCATTGAATGGCTTGTGGCGACTGAGGAGACTGTTGAGGCAGCTCTACCAGCAGGTGTATCTGCCATTCATTGGTGGGGGGTACGTTCTATGGCTTGCACTACTTGGAAAATTCGCACTAATGTCAATTTTGCTCAAGATGAATGCACCAAGATATCCAGTATGGGCCTCGCTTGCACGAGATTACCTATCCATCATGTAATCATCAGTCTCAAGCGAGCGTGCATTTTCCCAAGGTGGCATAACCATCAGTAAACGATGGAACCGGCTTAAAGGAGACATTGTTGAAGCTCTCCAATGTCTCAAATGTGCGATACGACACGACCTTCTCTTTTGCGAGCCTGGACCATCCTCTCTCTTGGAGTCGGAGGAATTTGACGACTCTGAATTGGAAGCTGACAGTGAGGAGAGGATCAGAGATGTTGCTGTAGACGAGGAGGATGCTTGGGATGCTTTGATTTCAGATGATGACGAGGTTTCTGAGTAGCGTTACTTCATGTATCTTCTTGTGCTACTATACTATGAATCTACAACTTTGCATACCACCAAGCCGTGGCCTAGTATGGCTCAAGCCATGGCTTTGGGCTGGCTTGGGCTCATGGCCTAGGCTTGAAATATGGCAAGCCTAAGCCAGGGCTTTGAGCTCAAGCTGGGCTGGAACGTCACTAAATAGATCATATTGATAATAGAATGATAAGCAAGATAACAGAATACAGTAAACAAATGTAGGAAACAGAAATACTCGGACATGTTGTAGGGATTCATTTCTGGCTGGGCTTGTAGAGACTGTTTTTACCTTACCTTATGTTGGCACTTTTGTAGCTTACATAATGAAGCAATCTTTTCACCAGTTACCAGTATGAGTCTGAGTGCTCAGCAGTTTTCTATGATATTTCCTCTCCTCTGAGCCTTAAGCCTAGTCCAGAAACCCTTTAGGGTCGAATAGCAGCTAGGTTCTGCAAGACCCAACACATTGTTCAGACTCACCATCTGAATTGTTGTACCTTCAACGTGAATATGAAGCATCAGTCAAGAATGATCTGCAGGTGGTCATGTCGAGTCCCTGCAGCTCTGTCGACCCTCAAACTTGCGGTCCTGTATGGATAAAATTAGTATCAAATAAGACACACAAAAGCAACATTCTCGCCATCCAGCTTCAGCCCACTCTTGCAGTTGCGCCAATAACCTAGGGCCATGGTACAGATCCTGAAGGATGGCCTTGAGCATTTGGACCATTTTGGAGTAGATAGGGCCTTATTCCCTTGCAGTAAACTTTGGGTAATATTTGCCATGGCCGTTCTTTGTGAGACCATTGAGAACGCAGTTGTACTATAGAGAGAAAACTTGAATCAATATATTATAATGTTGAGTAGGGGCAAAAATACTACTGCACTGACCAAAGCCAGACATGACACGGGCAATTGGTTGTGGAATATGTCTGGTTGCCTGCATGCAATTTGGTAAGGTCCCATATAAAAGAAGATGATGACAGCGTCACGAAGTGCGGGATGAGCAAAATTCCTTGTTTTACCCTAGAAAGATTCTCTGAGAATAGACACTATAAGCGCAAGATCACTTACATATTCATCTAATCCAAAGTGTAGGAAGAGTGACCCTTCCAGTAAGTCTGCAGCAGTGCGTTCTACCACTCTGCACGTTCTGGAATGGGGACCGAAGGTGGGGGAATGAGCGAGTATGATTGGGGCGCAAGGCTCATAGCAGATTTCTTCAAGTCGGATCGCCAGGTTGCAAGATCATCATACAACTGTAGTATAGATCTGAAACAATGAGAGCAGCAGGAATGTGAGTTTTACACCTACCAGACGAGCCATGTTAGATTTCTGTTGCGGCCAAATCTCTGAATTGCAACATGAAATGAATTGGTTTTAAGAGGGAACAAATGCTTACCGGCTTCAAATTGTTTACCATCCTGGTCCCATGTAACTAAGACTGAAACAAGAACCTCGCTTACAGACAATGGTAAATCAGCAACTAAAGCTGGGAAGGGATTCTCCAGGGCATGTTGCACACAACATTCTCCTTTAGCATCCTCAAGAAAACATTTCCATTGTGGACCATACCATGCTAGTTGAGTGGGCTTTGGCCTGTCAAGTTTCCTCAATCATTTAGTTTTAGACCGCTGGGTTGGTTGGTCCTCGTTGGACTTGACTTGATGCAACAACTTGAGGGTTTCAGGATCAGGAAGGCGTGGCCGGCCATTCTTCTTGTGATGGCATTTTAATACATCGTCGGGCTGCAACATCATGATCTATAAAGAAAAAGAGTGAGCCTCACAAAGGATGAGTTCCATCACCTCACCTGAACTTCCTGCGGCTGTGGCTGCATGTGCAAGGTATCCAGAGGAATCTTGAAAAGCAAGTAACTGTCAGCACAATACTGGCAAGTCAACCCATCATACCTGTGAACTGTTGGACCACTGGATGGATGACATGGAAGGATTAACTGCATGTGAGACACTGGTCTGTGCAACCGCGTCATCTTCATCGCGGGAATATTGAAACTCAAAGTCTGGTGTAAGAGGACAAGTGACTTGAGGTTGCAAAGGAAGCTCTTGCCCAGAAAATCCTGTGATTGGTATTAGTAAGAATGTTCAAAAGACAAGGGCAGAAGGCGACTAATCCTGGTAGTTTGCCTCTGAACACGCAGGAGAGTTGCAAACACATTACCTGGATGTTCAGTGTGATGTCCACCAACCTCCCCCCAGCCAAACTGCCAGTGACTCATCTCCTCCTCCTCCTCTTCCTCCTGTTCTTCATTGTTGTCATCATCGTCATTGTTGTCATTGTTGTCGTCTTCATCGTCAGAATCAACAATTCCTTGCGCATGGACATCACATATGTTCTGGTCCAGGAAGCCAGTTGGGGGTGCGACTGAATTAGCTACACTAGGGCCAGTTACAATTTTACGAGATTGCTTCCCAACGACTTTCCTCCCAACAGTGTTTAGACCTGGATCAGGAGGGACAGCAGTGGCATGTGTAGTGAACACAAATCTCCCTCCAGCTTGATGGAACAAGAGATTAAGAGGCTGTAAGGGTTCCACGGTACCGACGTCTGCGCATGAGGTGTTAGGAACATTTGTAGTAGCCGATGAAGTATATGGCGGGGGTGCAACCTAGATGTGAACGGTCAACATAAATAGACAAAATACAACTATGCATCAGACCTTTGGATGACGGCCTCGGCCCTTGCCACAAGGTGGTTCTGGAGCCCGAGGGTTGACAGGAACAGTAGAATCAAGGGATGTAGAGCCCTTAGGTCGGTGTACCCAAGACAGAGCTTCTAACAATGTGCTGATCTTCTCCAATTGAGCATTCCTACCTCCTGTTCCTGCATTGGCATGGCCAGAACATCTACCAGGTTCATCAGTGCTTTTTTCATCCAGACGGAGTGACACAAGTGGCATGCCAGATGTCTCGACAGGTTCTGCTGCTCGAGGCTTCTTAGACTACAGCATTTTTATATTGCTGACACTTACTTTGTATAGTATCAAGCATTGTTGTATCTTTACAGTGAAGCTCCTTGTTTTGAGCGTGGAGCCCCATGGTGTGGGCACAGAGCTGCAAGGTTAGGGCATGGAGCCACTGGGTTGGAGCGTGGAGCCGTAGCTCCATGTGAACATGAAACCTGCTGGTGCGAGTACAAAGCTCTTCAGTTAGAATGCGAGTTTCCTGAGTTAGAATGCAAAGCCTCTGGGTTCGAGTGCTCTGCACTTGCATCCGGGTTCGGATACTCTTCATGAATTGTTGTGGCGAGTTGCTTGCAAGTAACATGGGGAGGGAGGTCCTTGACAAATTTCTCTGAATCTTTTAAGGCAACGTAAGATGACACCATCTGTATCAATGACAAGGGGGATCAAGTACACCTCACCCAAGTATGAAGTAAGGTCTTGCATCTGAACTGTAGTGTAAAGATATGTTTTAGTTTGTGTGGTTTGGAATACTGGAAAACGCACGAGGACTCCATTCCCTAATGGTTAAGACAACATCAGGCTCCTCCACAAATGCACCCTTGGTTCTTCTATTCTCGTTAGACTTCTTGGACTTGCCTTTCCACTTAATCATCCTGGCTTTCTCTACATTGCTATCATCCTCATCTTTGTCTCAGCCCAACTCAGCCTCATACATATCACCAAGATGTTTCCTCAGATATGGACCGACCAAAGCGTGCAACTGACTTGCAGATAGTGATTTGAGATCAAAATCAGGGCCAGGAGGCGGAACTCCTGTGGGCCAGTCATAGATACACAGCCTTGTCAAGTATAAGACATCAAGCATTGTCATCCATCTACTATTTGAGGTTTTCAATGCTTGACCAACATCAGCTACTGAAAAAATGTGAGCACACCGACAGCAGGAACAGGCAAGACACAAACCAAATGCTTCACTGATAATGACAGGTGCCACCATACGATTTCTATCCCTGTCTGATTTACCATTGCATAGAAGCGAACCATTGGGAACTGCGGCAGGGGGTAGGAGAAAACTAATACTCTTGCCTTCTGCTTGTGCAGCCTCCAAGTCCTTGTACCTGTAATACATCCCAAGCATGTTAGCATGACGTACCCTCTGACTGAAGATAAAACACACTTAAGGATCATCGTGATTTCATCTATCACATGCTTGGCATCTACTTTTTGAGCGTCAATGAGGGCCTTTACTATACCAGGCCCCGCAAAAAAGCCTGAGGCCTGGTGGCCAGATTCCTCATCCCCTGGATAGATAACGATACCAGCGACATGAATTCTGTGCGTGCAGTGCCAATACAAAGCCTTCCAAAGGTCGGGTTATTAATGAATGTTAGTCACCAAAGAGCACTCACCGATTTTGCAAACATTTCACAAACTTCCATCATAAGGCTGCATGACTCACATGAGGATAGATTGTCAGGAGTGGCAACTGCATGATCAAAATGCTCCCGAATTTGCTTCCACAGAGCTGCGTTCTTAGGGTCCTTGTGCAAATGGGCATAATAATGCTCAGCTTGCTTAGCTTTCCATGCCTGCAAGCTCACTAAAAGGTCATAAATAAATATTGGAATAATCTCGAATGCAATAACATACCTGCTTTAGATGGGTGCAGTACAGTTTTAAACCAGGCTTGATGCTGATTCCAGATGAACTCCTTGCGTGTTGCCTTCCTCGCTAGTCCTGCTTCTGTCAGAATTACCTGCCAATGTTTCCCAAACTGTTTGCCAATTTTGGTTGCTTCTGCCTTGACCCTCTTGCCAAAATCATGCACTGCCGAAATGGCTTCTTTAGATAGTCTGCCTGCTTTATATGTGTCCTCATCCCCGTCTTCAGGCCTGTTTTCTTCATTGGAGCCCTCTAAATCATCGACATGGACATCTGCTACTGCTTTTCCCTTCTGCTTGTCCTCTGCAGACAGCCTGGGTGTGTGCATAGGATCTGCACTATGCTCTGCCTTCTTTCGCTGCTCTTCCGATTTAGCCCAGTCGCTGTCAGAGCCAGAGCTCTCTGCAGATTCCTCTCATCGCCAAAAAAGTATAACTTGTGAACACTGGATCTACGTGGGCGAAGGGTCATGGACACAGCTAAAAAAACATGACAGCGGTATACTACAAAATGTATAATGAAGCTTACCTGCAGTTTTCTCCCTTTCATTTGTTGCTATCGCACTGTCACATTCACCGTCAGATGGAACTTTAATAAATCATATTAGTTGATGTACTACGAGATGAATAGAAAAGCTTGCATGCATTCCCCTCCCTTTCATTCGCTGTTGCATCATCATTGCATTCATTTGAGGACAGAACTGCAATACAACATGTTGGTCGTTTTACTACAAAACATACATATTGTGAAACTTACCTGCATGATTCACACAGTTGTTCGTTGCCACAGTACTGCTGTGATCACCATCGGACTGAACTGTGATAAAATATGTTGGGCGTGTACTATGAGATGTATGAAAAAAATCACCTGCAGTCTTTTCTCTTTCGTTTGTCACTGCAGGACCACTGTGGGACAGAACTGCAATAGGCTACATTGGCTGAGTGTTCATAACATATATAACAAAATTTACCGGCAGCCTCCTCCCTTTCATTCGTCACTGCAGGGCCACTACAATCACCATTGGATGTTACTATAATACCGTCAATGTTTAAGACTATCCTGCAAATGGGTAAAACAATACCTGTATTTGAGTCACTATCATTGCGAGCACTATCTTCCCTGGGACTAGCTGAGGGACGAGAGTTGATAAAAATTAAACATGTAAGAGAAAACCTACCTAATGGTCTATCGTCATCTGTGCCATCTACGGAATCATCAGTGGTCAGATGGTAGAACTCAGTATGCATCAGTGAAATTACCTTCAGTTAACTGGGCCTTGGGATCCTCACATATGTCATCGGACTTCTTCCTGACCAACAAATGCCTGGCAAAATTGGAGAAGAACATGTCTTCCTCAGCAGATGATGTCATAGGATTGGAATGTTCCGACCTTGGAAGGGGACGAGGCTTAGGCCAAGGACAACATGACTGATATTGAGTTAGTGGATGATAAAATGATAACTATAGGCTTACATTGACTTGGGTCTGATGGGCCAACTTTAGACCACAGCAGGAACGGGATTGGTTTTGATCATAGTCAGCTGGAAGTGGTGCTTTTGTCTGATGCCCAGAGCAGGTAATAGAGGGCATATTTGAAACTGTTCCTTGTAATCACAAAGATATGAGGAAAAAAATGTCGAAAGAAACACAAAGTCAGGTGAGGATACAATGAATGTGGAAGAATTCAGATTGTAAGAGTAAATATAAACTTGAAATTGGGAGGGTGACTATTAATCACATGGCATTATATACATCAACTAGACCCTAAAGATGGTTAGTTTGACAAATCATAAGATATCATTCTTTTCGGCTTGGTGCTTAAACACAGAATATGAGCATTCATTAAAGGGCTAGACACTGGTTGCTATATGATACACCCATTTTTAGAAATAATAGAGATGAATAATGTAATAATGAAATGAAGTTCCAATAGAACTTGCCTGCTAGCTGAACAATATTGGCGGATCGCTCAGGAGATGCGTTACAGTGATGGGATTGAACCAAAATAATGCGGATAATAGGGCAGAAGATCTATGGATAACTTTGAGTACTAGAGCCTACTCTAGAATGTGCAGTAGACTGACCTTTGGCATACAGTGACGCCTCAAGTTGAAAGTTCCTGAAGAGAAGACAATGGTTGAAGTCCTCGCCACCCAAGTGGTTGTCACTCATGGTAGCTTTGACTTGGTAGAGCATTTGTGGATGAAATGGTAGGTGAATAATACGGATAATAGGGTGGAAGATCTATGTGAATAGCTTTGAGTACTAGAGCCTACTCTAGAATGTGCAGTAGACCGATGTAGAAACAACAATACTGAGAGGAACAAATGAATGCTCCTGACTGTATCTAAAAAATGTTGTAGGTCGCGCATTGCCTAGTCTGCTATGCTTGAGGTGGCAAGCGCGTTTGACCCTTAAGGGGAAGCAAGTGCAGCAAAGATCTAGAGGTACGTGCTGAAGCGAGGCGCGAGAAAGTGCAGGTGTGCGCGAGGCGCGGGAACACGTGCATGTATTAGCGCGAAGCATGGGAAAGCGCACGTGTGGAAATGAGAAAGAGTAAGCTTAAGTGAGGATATGATGTAAGACAAGAGAAGAGAGATGTGAAGTATAGACAATTTGGATTTCTACTATGTTCTTCTAGGTAGATAGTGGGTGGAAAGTAAAGTAAGGTGAAGTTCAGTGGTAAAAAGTTGGTTGGAAAGTCCATTGTAAAAATGGAAAGTCCCCTGTACTATCTACTGCTGGCGCTTATATAGCGCACCTAAGCGCTGTAATGCGGATCCGAAGCGCTACCGAGTAGGTATGTAAAGATATATATGAGTGAGAATCCATGATAAAAATAAAGATGGAACAATATGCTAATAAAGGAAATGGAAATATATGCACTAGGGAGCTTGGTGGACAGTGGATGGATGCTTCTGGATGGCTGGCACTATAGGGAGCTCAAGCGCGGGAATGTGCGCACGCGCATATAGATCGCGAAGCGCGCGAATGGTGCGTGCATGGCGTGCGTTGCACAGGAAAGCTGCGCCTCATATAGGGATAGCTGCGGGTAGCGCACGGAGTGACACTACAAGTTCGTGCTATGTACTCCTTAGTGAAAACTTGTCATATCAGACCATGAGACACACAAGTCTCTACACCGACCTTTAGCATACAATGACACTTCAAGTTAAAAGTTCCTGAAGAGAAGATGATGGTTGAATTCCTCACCACCCAAGTGGTTGTCACTCATGGTAGCTTTGACCTGGTAGAGCATTTGTGAATGAAACAATTAAATAGGCGGTTGTCCTTACCACCAGCGAGGATGGGGAATAGTCTTCTCCCAGGAGAGGGTGTGATGCTTGTACATTTACAGTGGAAGTGGAGGTGGCGGTATGACTTGGAAGCTCATGGTGGAGCTACAATACAAGTTTATCTTCACAGATCAAAGGGATCAAGTCCATGATAGAAATCTACGCTGAACGATGAAACTAAAAAGTGAAGGTCAGAGGAAAGGAGCTTGATGCACCAGAAAAGTGAGACATGAGATGGATGAGACCCCCACAAAAGACATGAAGGAAAATCAGTAGAAGTAGATAGAAAGAAATATGCATGCACTTAGCTAAGAGTCTCAATGTAAAAATCAAAGCACAACACACCAGATAGAGATTGACTATGGGGCACCCCTGAGGAAGATTTAAACCCTACTGGTGCAGCAATGGGTGAGCAACCAGGGTGATCCTCCAGACATGCAGTCTAGGAGTGATTGATCAATGACACGAAGTCAATTGATCAGGATGTGAATGGCACAAAGCCAATTCAAAAGAATATGGGGCTGGGACATCCAGGGCGATGGAACATTGTTCAGGGCGGTGGGATTAATGGATAAGGGGTGGTGGAATAATGATGGAGGATGACTGAGGTGATAGATGAGGGAGATTGAGTAATGGGCATGATTTGGGACTTTCCCACAATTGAGCTCGCTGCTCACATTCAGTCAGAACTTGATTTGGGATTTTCCCACTCGGTGACATTGCTCTTCAGTTCTTGTTCACTACTGCGACAAATCCTCTCTCTTCACTCATCCCCATCTCTCTGTTGTCCCGTCTCTCCTATTGGCCCATCTCTCCTTTTGTCCTCCCCCAGGATCCCTCAACTCCCAGTCTATCTCTATCTGAACTGGCTTCGTGCCATTCACATTCTGATTAGTTGACTTCACGTCACTAGTCAATCACTCCTAGACTATGTGTCTGGAGGATCGCCCTGGCTGCTCACCTGTTGTTGCACCAATAGGGTTGAAGATCTTCCCCGGGAGTGCATTACATTTGATACCTATCTGGTGCATTGCTGTTCCTTGAGCTTCACATCGAGCGTTGACCTGCACCAAACTGGTTCGGTGCATGGATGACTAATACTCTCCTATGAGCCCTATGCCCTATGAAATCATTTTTTTCTGTGACCCGAAGTCAGACTGAGGCTAAGGGAATATTTTTTTTTGCTTTTTTTCATTTTACGAGATTATACGCAAGTGGACTGAATATTTTTGTACATTTAATTTTGTGATGAGTTTTGCTTAGTCAGCCATGAGGATGACTCAGAAAGATTCTCACACATATCAGGTGACTATGAAAAATATGTTTGCATAAGGTTACCCTGTGGGAAAGCTTACAAATCCTTAAATACACTGTAGAGACTCATGCCTCTCATGGCATGATATGGCAGTTTCCACTAGGGAGTACATAGCACAAACTTGCAGCACCACTCTGTGTGCTATCCACAGCTATTCCTATATGAGGCGCAGCTTTCCCGCGCAACGCATGCCATGCGCGCACTCTTCCCACACTTCACGATGTATATGCGCGCGTGTTCCCGCACTTGAGCGCCCCATAGTGCCAGCCATCCAGAAGCATCCATCCACTGTCCACCAAGCCCTCTAGTGCGTATATTTCCATTTCTCTTATTAGCATATCATTCCACCTTTATTTTTATCATGGATTCTCACTCATATATATCTTTACATACCTACTCGGTAGCGCTTCGGCTCTGCATGACAGTGCTTAGGCGCCCTATATAAGCACCAGCAGTACATACTATTACTAACTTACCTTTTCACCCAACTTTACTTATATACTTAATACCTAGAAAGTCGCAGTAGAAATCTATTCATTAGCACATTGCATCTCACATCTCTTATCTTGCTTTATATCATCACTTAAGCTTAGTCTCTCATTTCCGCATACACGCGCGCACCGCCTTCGTGCCTTGCACGCACCTGCGCTTCGCTTCAGCGCGTACCTCTAGATCTTTGCTCCACTTGCTTCCCCTTTAGGGTCGAACGCACTTGTCTCCTCAAGTAACGCAGACTAGGCAACGCGCGACCTTACAACTATTTACAGATACAGTCAGGAGCATCATTTGTTCCTCTCAGTATTGTTGTTTCTACAACACATCTTATGTCATTATGCTACAAATCAATTCATCAGCCACAGATTGCATAAACATATGTACACAATATGTAATCACTTTCTCACTCTTTGTCTAGCTGAGTCATCAAGGGACACCTGACCCATGGGCTATACACAGCTCTTGCTGACTCATCATTATACCAACGAGAGTTATGAATATTTACTTTTTGACTCAAAAATATCGTGTGACTTGGTACTATCACAGTAAAGTTACAACTTTAAGTATGAGAAACTAGTAGTATAGCCACCAATTTGTCTATATAAGGAGCTGTTTCTTGCCCAATAAAAATGCCCAAAAAAAAGTGCCACTTTTACCCTCTCAGAATAAAATTGTGAGTGAAGTGTGAATCAGCATTCAGCAAGTGCAGTTCAAGGTTGGAGCTCACTGTGCTCAACAACCAGCGCAACATATCCGAGCTCACTGTGTTGAACATCTAGCACATACCTTGAGCTCACTGTGTCTGACGACTAGCAAGACTAGTTTTCTTTTTTTTGTGTTTTTGTGTTTTTGTATTCTTTGTCTCTGTTTCTTTTTGTTTTCTGTCTATCTCTCTGTGTCTGTGTCTGTGTCTGTGTCTGTGTCTCTCTGAGATTGTTTCTGAGATTTTTTTTCTCTCTATCTCTCTGGAAACATGTCTGAGATTCGTGACTGTGAAACTAACATCTCTGTTTCTCTGTTTCACTCTCTCTGTCTCTCAAGTTTGAGTGTGGTGTGTTGGTGACTGTGTGTGCTGACCATCTCTTTTGATCGCTGTCTCTGTGTGTCGTGATCGTTGTTGCTAACAGTCTCTGTGAACGTGACTGTGTTGGTGTTTCTGTTGTAGCAGTCTGATTGTGTTGTTGTTCCTTCCTATCAACTTTCTCTCAAGTATCAAAGTTTCAGTCTCATTCTTGCTAGAAGTTTGGTGTTGTCTCTTTTGTCCACTGAAGACTTAGGATAGTCTTGTGGGGAGACTTCAGGTGTTGGCAGTGAATCACTGACCTCAGACATCTGCGTGTTATACTGGGCCAAAGTAGTCATTTGCGAGTTAGGCTTTAGCTATTGAAAAGGGGACTTGGTATTGAAGTCCAAGGCCGCCCGTTCCTGAGTCTGTTTGAATACTCATTGTGAGTTCCTTGGCAGCAGGTTCAATATTAGGCTAAGAGTGCTACGGTAGCTCTGACTAGGTCTAACAGTAGTCTCACCTGTTTTGTTCTTGAGGGGGATTATCATTGTAACTCCACACAACTTGCTGCACTAAGTTTGTGTACAAATCATTGTTGCTGTGTGAAGTGTTAGGAGGAGTGTCTGTTTGTATTGTATCATCTCTATACTGTTAGAGTGACTGTGTCTCTTGATATTTTTGCTGTTGTTGTTGTTGTTGTTGTTGTTGTTGTTGTTGTTGTTGTTGTTGTTGTTGTTGTTGTTGTTGTTGTTGTTGTTGTTGTTGTTGAATTGCTGACCAATCGGGTTCTGTTTCTGTTATCATTGTGCTTCATATCCATACTGTTGGATTGACTGTTGACTGTTGATTGTTGACTGCTGACTGTTGTGCAGAGCTATACATTGCTGACTGTACCTTAGGAGCAAAGACAAGCCACCCATGAACGACCACGTTATCAGTCATTGGTATTTGTCTGAATCACTGACCATGGAGATATTTGGTTTTATAGGTGTTTATCTATAGATCATCTATCTAAGAAGACAGCGTCTCACTGGTGAATGTACATACTTGTCTTTCTTTCACTTTCACTGATTTCCTCCCACATTGCTATCGTGGTTTCATTGCTCTCTTCATGATCAGCAGCTTGAACTCCCACAATTATACTTTGCAATCCGACACAAGGTATGTCCAACCTTTTGCTTTTGTTACTCACTTATGATTTCTGATCCACATCATGCCCAACACTTTGACATTGTTCAAAGCAAATTGCACCCTTGCAGACAGTATGTATGTCTCCATCTATGCCTTGCATGTGCTGATACTAAATTTTATGATAGGTTGGTTACAAGCTTTCGACGCTCACGCTGTTGCTGTGCAGGGTAACTTGATCATCACGACACCCAACATGCATTTTGTCCCAGAACTTCACCATTTTGAGTCAGAAGTCTTACAAGCCCATGCAGACGGTCACTTCAGTGTCATCAACTGCTTTCAGTGGCCTCAGGCCTACGACGATGCTTTTTGCCATGCTGTTTGCATTCCTCGAAAGGAGGCATTTCCATTCCCTCACCCACTACATTGAGCTTGGTTTACCCCTGCCCAGGATGACCTCAAGCCCATCCCTGGGAATTCATTTCCTGTGGGCATACTGGCTTCGGATAAGGTCGACAGATTATAATCTCTCTTCAAACTGGCGGAACAATGACTCTGTAATTACAGAAAGGCCCAGCCGGACAGAGGCCACACTATATACAGCCGTCTCTTGTCCCTCCGACTATGCCGTTGCACGCTTGAAGTCACACCCCCTCACTTTTCATGATCTTCTCATTTTCATTACCAACGCTCAGCACCTCTTTCTCGACATATACTCTTATATTGACTGGATGCTCATAGCTCATCCTCTCACTACTTTGGGCCTTCGTCATGATGTTCACGGTGAATGGATGGGTGGTTTCATTCAGAGTAGCAACATCTGCGAGAAGTTGTTCTGCACTGGTGTCCCTGTTTGGTATGTTCATGCAAGTTCATACATTCCACAAAACATGAAGGTCATTGAGCCTGTTTTACTTACACGTCCGGATCACATCATCATTTCCATGTATGCAGAGGGCAGGAAAGTTCCCCCATTCGAAGTTATATACCATGGTCCCAATGGTTGTGATCGTCATGTGCACATTCGCTGCCTATATGCAGGCACAACATACCTGGACCCTGAGGTAGCCACCCCTCAACCATTATCCAGCTCGAATCATGGTCCTAAATCATCTACTCTTGGCAAGGTGCCTTCTCAACAGAAGGGTAAGCAAAAGCACCAGCCATGTAAGTACCTTTTCTTTTTGTGTATGCTGAATGCTCACAATTTCAGACTCGGTTGAAGCTCGCCCTGCATGTCCTATCCAGCCAGGCGAATCCAGGGATAAGTGGAAAGACCCTGACATGCCTTATCTTCCACCACCAAACCTGCATTGGGAGGGTGCCATGAAAATTGTCACTAGGGAACAGTCTCGCATTCACACACCCTACATTATTTATCGGGGGTATAGATTCCCCAAGCCTGCTCTTCTTATCGGCCCCAAACTACCTGAATGTCTGCAGGTGTATCTTGCCAATTGGCTTGCATCTTGTGCGCCGTGGATAGGCCAAGTTGATCATGATTCTCCATGCACTTATCCCACTCCTCAACTCTGGCGCGACTTTCTTGGTAGTGTGCCTTCCGCCCAGCCGCAATCTCTTAAGGAGAAAGATCCTGACAGAAAAGGTCTTATGGCTACCGAGAAGCGGAAGCAAGTAATGTGGGACTTGTTTGGTGACAATTTATTAGAAACTCAGGGCGATATATTTTCCCCAGAAGGAGTTGTTGAATATTGGGGTGAACAAATCCCAGTCACCACCCTCGCTAATCCTCCCACACTTCTGGCCCAGAAGGTCACATGGGAGCTATTTGAACTTGGCTTTCGATATGAGTTGAGGGATCTTGATCAGTTACTTGGCACAGGGAGAATGGAAAAATGATCCTATTGGTCATGAGCAACTTCTCCATGACATCTTCCCAGGTGAAGCTGGTCTAGTGACGTAGTCAGAGCCATTTCCATCAGAACATTATGGGTTGTGGGACAACACTCTCATGGGCTGTCTTCCTTACCTCAAGAATTTTCGATGACTGCTTTGCAATTGGGATGGTGTGCCGCCTCTTCTTATGACATCACTGACTTTCGATAACTTCACAGATACAAAGTGCTGGGAAGTCAGGTGTGTGGCAATGACATTTTATGTCCAGATATTTTTTGATCATTTCTGCAGGCCTCCCATCATCCCCCACTCACTTCACATGCAATCATAATTTCACAATTTTACTACTGTTGTCCTTGCATATTATCTGCTTTCCAGTCCCATTACATTAGAATCAAATTGATACTGCTGTGTTCTTGCTAGTTGAATTCGCATGACATGGTGAGTGTCATAGCCTCCAGTCTATTTCTTGTTCTTGTGTAGGACCCTCCATTATTCAGCTTTGTATGGTTACCATCAGCTGACTTTAATGTTACTCCAGCGTCACGATCTATTTTCTTCTCTTTAGTTCTATGAGATCTGGCTTCATGAGATTAATATATGTATTGCTGTGCACATAATTCGGACATTGAGCCATAGAAGTAGCGATGGTGACACAGTGAAGGAATGGTATGCTCATGCATCTTTGACTTCTTCATATACCCATTCTATGACATAGGCTCACCCTTTCTTCTGGAACAATGGATGTCTGCTCTGCTTCCTCAGTGTCATTCAATGGCAAAGCATATGGGGATCCGAAAGTAACACATTTGCAGTCCAGCTCCAAAAACTTTACTGCAGTATATCCAGACTTAGATCAGACTCAATCTGCTTTCGAGATCTACAAGTTGGCCTGATTGTTGAACACTATTGAATGATCCGTTGAAGGTACAACAATTCAGAGGGTGAGTCTGAACAATGTGTTGGGTCTTGCAGAACCTAGCTGCTATTCGACCCTAAAGGGTTTCTGGACCAGGCTCAAGGCTCAGAGGAGAGGAAATATCATAGAAACTTGGTCAGCCCTCAGACTCATACTGGTAACTGGTGAAAAGATTGCTTGCTTCTGTCAGCTACAAAAGTGCCAACAAAAGGTAAGGTAAAAACAGTCTCTACAAGCCCAGTCAGAAATGAATCCCTACACCGTATTTGATATAGTCTTGGATGAACTGAACTGATTCAAATGCCTAAGCTACGTGAATTTTCAGCCCAATGTAACTGTTTTGATTTTTCCCTAGTGATCCTACTTCGTTCCATAATGTTCACCACCACCGATCACCACAATTGAACTCCCCCAGACTGCGCGTCCATGGGCTGAGTTGCTCCAGTTGACTTCATGTCACTGTTTCCTACCTTGCTGACTTCGAGTCTTAAGGTATTACACAATGGCAGTCCACTGTCCGAAACTTCGATGTCATAAAGCAACTACCTATGATTCATCATCTCCATCGATGCATCAACCTACTACCAGCATTTGCAAACCAGGGATGGTCGATATGTGGAAACATCCTCGTGAGACTACAAAGCTCAGCCTCTACCTTCCTGGCCCACCTCCCATCTTGGTTATTCCAGGACAACAACGTCTAGCACAACACTAGCTACCTCATTCATTATCCATATGTGGAATGGAACCAGAACACAGGGATGATGGAGCTGTCTTTCCCTTCAGCGACACCTTACATTTGTCTAACGACCCTTGTCCCCATCATCTCACCAGCTCACAGAAAAGAGCCAATCAGTGGTGCAGATGGTCTGACAATCTCATTCTGCACATGATAGTGCCCTATCTATCGTACATCCAGGAGACTTTATTGCTACGCCATGTGAACGTACCAGAGATATGACATCGGAATGATGGGGAGTGCAGAACTGGCTGCAGAACTTGTAGTGTCAAAGTTACATGCATATTTTTTGATGGTATGCTGTCATCTTTTTCTCTTCCAACATTGATTAGATGTATGTTACAGCTTTCGAGGAAATCACCATCATCACCTGCCCTTGTTCGCCCGCCCCACTTCAGCTTCTTTGTGGTGGCCTTTTTCCATGTGCACCTGTGGCACCCACCCTGGCAGTAGACTTATGAGTTCTTGAGTTTGTTCGCCTTCTCTTTCTTTGTCAATATCCCAACCAAACAGCTTGGTGTGATGTACTGGAGACCTTTTTTGATGGGATGAAATACAAATTGATGTTGAAAGTCAGTATGTCCCTTCTCGTAGTTACATATCCATGCTTAACCTTCCTTCAGAACAACTTGTGCCATTGCTTCAGCAATGCATTTCACTGGTACTGGGTCTTGACTGTATTGGCTCAGGACCACATCTCTAAACTCATTGTTGGTGCTCAGAAAGATAGTGCTCAGATGGACCAACCTAGTGATTATCTCTGCTTGTGATGCCCACTTTGTTTTGGAGGGGACAATTGGCAAAACAGACCGAGAGATTTTTTTCCTATGTGCGTTATTTATTTTCTATGATTCTACTACATCAGCTAATCACTTTTAGGCCAGATACTATTGTTTGTATTGACACATGCTTTACACAAAAATGTTCTGCAAATCCTCAGTGGGGCTACTGGTAGTGATCCTCCCAACCCAACACCATCCTTCTTTCTACCAATGGGCGATGTGAAAGCAATGGAAGATTTTGTTGAAAGGTGTCACAGAGAAAGATGTCAAGCAAGGACCTTGAGGTCGGAGCCAGATAAAGATGGCTATGAGGATGGCATGCGCATACCAGTATCAGTTCTGAATGGATGTGGTGACTCCTTCATTGCTGCAGATAAAAGTGGGAGAAGGCAAGTACTCGTTTCTTTACCGATACTGGCCTCATGGCACTGATTTGTAGACATGACCATGTCCTATGGATGGTGAACCTGACGTCCATGGGAGAAAAGCAACATTACGCACTTGCTCTCTTGGACCGGTTGTTCAAACACATCCCTGCTTGGATGACCATCAGGCTTTTATACGACATCGCATGCCAGCTTGAATGGAGCTGTCGCAAGTGGAAATTCATGGATGACTCTATCCTATCTCACATCACATTTGCTGTTGCTGTATTCCATGCTTATGGTCACCAGTGGCCATGTCAAGTCATCTACCACCCCAGGAAGCAAGAAGGATTTGGCTTGTCTGATGGTGAAGGATGTGAAGGATTATGGAGTTTCCTCAAGCCTCTCATCCCTTCCTTGTGTGTTTCAGGGGTACGTGTACTCTATTCCAGTCATTTTATGAATCTCACTCTCCTGGTGAAGTCTAATCAACGACTTTTTGTCCTCAATACACAGATTCATCACTTAGACTCAAAATCATTGCAAGGATTTGGACACTGGCTCCATCAGCATTGGATCCACTGTCAAACAAAGAAAAATGATGCACTGGACCTTTTACACAACTTGCAGTTGGATGAGGATATGCTCTGTCTAGAATGGAAGGCCCAGGTTGATCACCAGACACGACCCACACCATGTATGTATATGATAACTAAGTATGCCTATTGTTAAACTAAATGTCATGTAGGACAATCTAGAAACAAGGCAGCGGAGGTAATCACTACCATCCTAGCGCTGGAGAAAACACTAGAAGTTCAGGAAACCTCCATACATGAACTTGAGATGCAGCTCCATGGTGACCACGTCCCTAACATTGGGGAAGTCAATCTGCAGCTTGTAGATGCTCGATCCCAGCATAGGAAAACTGCTGACACTCTCCGCCGTCAACAAGCTGCACTTGGAATGGACGACAAGGATCAACCTGGAGAGGATGAAGAAGGACACATATCTTACAGTTCGCTTGAATGCTCGCACAATACAAACTTGCATTCACAATCACCTTTGTCAATGAAAGTTTGAATTGGAGAGACTTGAGAGGTCTTACAGAGCAACAGTCAATAGTGTGTTGATATTTTGACCGCACTGACACATATCTCACAATTTTACAGCTGAACATAAGCTTCATGCAAATACCCAGCACTTGATCAAACACCAAGAGCCTGGCATCCTCAAATTAGTTTCTACATACAATGGTCTGTGTTCTCAACTACAATCTCTTATATGACAGCGGCGAGCACCTCCTTCTGCTGTTCCCCCTCATATCATCCAGCATGATGGCATCTTCCAGCTTGACGTCAATGACGACATCTGGCAAGACATTGGGCTTGATGACGACACTTTGAACCCCCCAGCATGGCTATTGGATGACATGGTTAGGAATGGTATCCGGCTGCAACTGGAAGTCAATCAGTGCAATGAGGAGGAAGCTCGACTGATGGGGGAGAGGGCTGTAATTCAAGAATGGATGTTGGCGGAGTGGGACAGTATACAAGCTGCCTTAGATGAAGCAGGTGCGTCGGCATGTAATATGTTATGAATAATATTTAACGACTTCGTAGTGGCCGATGCAGTGATGTCTTTCCACCTTAAGTCTCATGCAGATGACCTTGTTGACATTTGTGTTGTTTGGAAGAAAAAAGTTCAGTCTAATCTGTGCACATGGCCATTGAGTGCGAGTTGGGGACCCTCTGACAAAGCTTTACATCAAGCTGCTTATAATCAAGTGCAATCATCATTTCATGACAACAACAACAACAATCAGAGTATGGAAGGAGATGGAGAGGGTGATTGCAAGAGTGAGCTGGAGTACGGTGAGATTGAAGATGAGAAACTAATAGATGCTATTGAAGAGATCGCATTAGCAGATGAGTGTAGGTATGGTCAGGATATGGAGTTCATGGACAATTTCAATGACATTGACAATGATTTCATGCCTTCTTCCCCTATTATGTTGTTACACAAGCGGCGCCGCATGTAGATATTGTCTTATCTTTTCAATAATATATTCTTGATGCCTGCAGCATTTAATACTACTGAATCTGTTGTTCTCTTGCAACTATTTTCATTCTCTTATTTACATCTGTTCTAAATCATGTTTAATATAAATGTATGAATGTATGGAGTATTGTAAAGAACCAATGGCAACACTGATTTCATTAACTTTTGTGATCCTCCCTATTCAATATATTATCTATATGTGGTCTGGCCCACAAACTCCTGTGGTCCTCCCTATTCAATTTATTATCTATATGTGGTCTTCCCTATCGGTATATATGGTCCACCCCACAAACTCCTGTGGTCCTCTCTATTCCATCTAATATCTATATATGGTCTTCTCTATCGGTATATATGGTCCAGCTCAGAAACTCCTGCGGTTCTCCCTATTCAATCTATCATCTATATATGGTCTTCCCTATCAGTATATATGGTCCGGCCTAGAAACTCCTACAGTCCTCCCTATTCAATCTATTATCTATATGTGGTCTTCCCTATCAGTATATTTGGTCTGGCCCACAAACTTCTGTGGTCCTCCTTATCAGTATATATGGTCCATCCCACAAACTCTCACAGCCCTTCCTATTCATTCTATCATGTATTTGTGGTCTTGAAATAGGTTAGATTAGATAAGGACAAACTCTACTAATAACATGCTAGCAACAACCAATTAATATAATAAAATATCTATAAGGACTGTATATTCTTTATGCCCCAACCACAACTCCACAACTATATACAAATGATGCTATCACATGACTAAGAATGTGTGTACTTTTTCTTTTTCCTTCAGTGATATTATGAGCATGTCCTTATATTCTCATGTTGTACATATTCACTATCATTATTAGAGTCAGGATCCTCCTTCCCATTAGATGTACAAGATGAGAGAAAACACTGTGAGCTGGCATAATTATTTCCCACGGTCCAGTGTACAGGTGCCTAGACAATTTCAACCAACAAAATCATCTTTTGACTAAAGTGGGTGTCAGGATAGACAGAAAATTACTTCAAAGTATGGACCCCAGACACTCTTACATGATAGGGAAAATCCATTAGATATATGGTCCAAGCAACTTTATGGTACTTTCCATAACATGTTCCCAATGGTATTTGATTTACATATAGTATGTACTCTTTTGGTCCACAAAAATAATAGGGAAAAACCAGAGAACACTGGAGAGACCAGCAGAAATATACCTTTTAGGTATAAACCTCTAGAGGCCACAATCAACCTAAGAGGTATCTGAAATGGGGTGACCAAAGTGTCACCAGTTACCAGTATGAGTCTGAGAGCTCAGCAAGTTTCTATCATATTTTCTTTTCTCTGAGCCTTGAGCCTTGTCCAGAAACCTTTTAGGATCAAATAGCAGCTAGGTTCTGCAAGACCCAACATTGTTCAGACTCACCATCTGAATTGTTGTACCTTTAGTGATCTACGAGCTGCGCTACTTCAATGGAGAGATTTTAAGATGGTTAAAGAAGATCTCAATGGCGACATTTTATTTGGCCCGCAGCTTATTATGTCAAACAAAACTCTCAACCGCATTATTGACCTTGCTCACTATGCAAAGCTAACCTCCCACGCATCATTGCTAGAGCAAACTGGCTAGTGCTATTTCCTAGACTATGGCCCACACATCATCGAGCTTATCAAGTCATTCTTTCCTCCTCCTCCTCCTCCTCCTCCTCCTCCTCCTCCTCCACCACCACCACCGCTGTTAGTGCATCCACCAATTCCTGTGCCATTGGCAGTCCTTGGATCCTCAATAATGATAAACCAGCCTCACCCTGCAGCTGGTAGCAGTGCTAAGCAGCGAGCAGCGTGGAAATGCAGAGCATGTGGGAGTAATCTTCACATAGGTATGTGCTCTTGACACTACTTGCCAACCTTAATTGACACACCAATAGCTTCAAATAGACTCTGTCTGAAGTACATCCTGAAACCAAAATCATCTCGCACAAAGAACACGAACGCAGAGAATGAGCCAGCAGCAGGACCTAGTACTGTAAGGTCAGTCAATAAAATCATCTGCATCTAGTTCAAACGTCCCTGCATCTTCTTCGCTGACTACCTTTTGCTCTTGTATTAGTGCCATACCCATAGCAATTTGATCTGGGATTGAATGTAGTACACTTTGGCCTTCCTTCTTGGTATGTGGGTTCTTTTGTTTGATTCATGCTGCCAATTTCTGAATTGTCTTCGTCATGTCAGGTGCAGCATGTCGGATTGTGCAGTGCTGAAGAATGTGTTTTTCATTGTTACGTGGCAGTTTTAGTATACTTCAATGAGAGGTGATTCTTTGATGATGTGATCCAGTATGCCATTTGGACCACCACCATGAAATATGACCTGTCAATCATTACTTTTAGTTTCTTGACATTGACCATTACGTTCACTAACCTTTGTATACAAATTGTTGTGCTCAACAACCCAGTCAACTGCACAAAAAGCAAATGGCTTGCCGGTTGGGTTATATAGTAAGTTCATCCACACTATATTACTGTGTCAAATATATTGATAACATCTATTTTCAGCAAGACAGAATTCCTCACCTCAAAGCCACTGGATAATTGAGTTGAAGGTTCATCAGGAACCTTAACATCTGTGATGCATATTTATGCTTTCCGGTAGCTTTGAACATATGAATCCAAGGGAGAAATGATGCTTCGACATGACCGATATCTCCAGTGTTCATGGCTTGACAAAGGTCAATGTACAAGAGTTCGTCACAATTATGCAGTGTTTGGTTCTCGAAACACTTGTCTCATTGTAGCAGTGGCTTTTCCTGCGCTGCATCCAGATCTTGGGTCATCGCAATGAACTTTTTCATGATGACACAGGACATATTGATTATATCTTCCCAAACTGGCTTTGATGTGGCGAATCTTTCTAACGTTGACCATTCAGTATTTTGGCTCTCTGCTTCAAGATGCTGGCAGTCGAGTATTGATGCCCAGATGTCATGGTGAACAACATCGTGGACACGTCGAAATCCAGGTTTACTGACCATTTTTCCTGTTTCATCAGGTTGAAGGATCCCAATGTGTTGATAGAGGCTATTCTCATCCTTGCACCCTTCCTTTGGATGAATGTACGTGCGCCACAATGCATCCACACATGCCATCTTGTAGTGAAAGAGTCCCAGGAGGAACACAATGTACTGGAGATGATTTTTCGGTGTGTGCTCAATTTTTCGGCTGTTCCACACACTGTCGACCCACTCCTTTGTTAATAGGTCTCCATGAACCAGAATTACATGTTCTGTCATGTCAACATCATGTTCTGCATCAAAGTTGACCTTGCTTTTGTCCCCAATACCTCCCTGGTGAAACAAGTTGTCCAAGACTTCAATGTTTCCATCTGTGGTAGACTGCTTGATATTCATTGAGCAGCAGTGTATCTGATTGGTCTTGTGTATAGGTATCCTCTGGATGGTTTCAGGCTTGTCAAGTTTGTCTGCAAAGTGCTTGAAGTTTTGATTGTGTTGGACAAGGATGGCGCAAATATGCCATGCAAAAGCCTCCTCTCGTCCACTCAGCTGTGTTGGATTTGTTTGCAGATTGTAGGTGTTCTTTTTGTGAAGCATTAAAAAGCTTCTGCTTTCATTCATCAGCGGGAATAATGACGGTGATGGATTCTTTGAATCAGAGGCCCACAACTTTGCCGAGCTCCACAATGCCTCCTCGTTACTTTCATCAACACTATACAGTGGAATCACAGTGGCAGATGTTGCACTGACAAAGGAGGAGTGGTTTTTGAGTGTTGGCTGGGCAACATTGAAGGCAATATCAAAATTGTTGTATGCAAATGCTGCATGGAGTGTGTAGACTTCCCTTTTGATGTCATGGCTGATCTCCTTCGAAATAGATGTCACCATGTTATATATGGTGGACAGGCTGACAGACAGCCCTGTGTGTGCCATGACCTCAATGACCTTCTCAGGGATACCTGTTGACTTCATGAAAAAGCCCATCCAGCCCTGTAAGCAGTTGCATCTTTCGTTCGTGTTTTGCAGGCATATGCTGATTATCACTACTGTTTTCTGGTTACAGTTAGTGGCCGCACTTAGGTACCGGAGATCGAAACTTCGCTTATGATGTGTTGTAGTGCTACATTCCTTTCACCTGCATGACACTGCCATTTCCTTGGTCGTTTGTCAAACACCCCATCATCCTCTTCACCCCCATCATTATTGTCTTCAAAATATGGCTCATCTCCACCCAATTTGCCCAAGTCCATCTCATTCTGTGAAGGTGTATCTTCATGTGCTGGAATGTGGCCAGCAGGGTGCAGCATTTTCGATGGCGGTATTCTCTGCTGTCGAGTAAAGCTGAGACAAGGTTCCAAATATTTGGAGCAACTCCTTGCATTGTTATGGCAAGCTGACTCATAAAAGTCGTTTCCAGCTGCTCCACAGTTGCGGAGGTGGCCTTGAAGTGGAGGCCATGGTGCTTGAGTGATAGCTCAGCAACCTCCTTACATAGCTCTCTGCGTAGTGTTCCTGCTGTCCAGGAAAAAACCGATGTATGTGAGTCCTCATTATTGTATAACTGCACACAAATGTGAGCTGTGTTCATTGTCAGCGAGTCTTGGCTGGCAGCATGAGTTGTATGTCTGCTGTCCAATATTGCACTGATGAATCCCGCTGCCGACAGGTTGTTTTGCTGCAGGCACCGCAGGACATTTGTCAGTCGAAGTTCGAGGCTCATTCTTGGGTGGTGGACAGTGGAGTGGTACTGTATTCATTTTGTACTCCTTACCTCATGTTTTGCATGATTCTACTCCCATTCTTGTGCATTCATCGTGCTCTACTGGTTATTTAGAAATATAATTATATAATATAAATATTACCTTGTCACACCTGCCATTGTACTAATAAGCTTCCTGGTGTACCTGACAGCTTGATCCATCATTCGGAAGGAATGCAAACAGTGGCAAACTTGATGCCACAACAAGTTGTCCCAGTCAGCTAGGTGTGTAGAGTCCAAAAGTTGTGGTGTTTGAATTAAGGTGCGGGGTTTAAAAAATGTATTGTATTCAGAATGTACTAACACAAGACTCTACACACTGCTGATGGTTTGGAGTCTGGGAGTGAGCTTTTTAATGCAAAGCACTGTATTACTTGACAATTGGTTCGAACCTATTCAAACCAGGTTCGAGAATTCTGCAAGTCCTCAAACCATGGACTGGACTGACAGTTCAGTTCTCCCTATTTCCTGAACTTTGGACCGGACTTCGGTCAGGTTCAAAACAGTTCAGGTTCAGGACCAGACCTGGCCATCACTACAGCCACAACTTCAAGCTTGCGATGATATTACAGCTGTTTTCATATTGATAGACCAGAATTTCGAAAATTCATTCAGCCACTTTTGTTTGTTGTTGGAGTGACACCAAACAGAGGCACTCCATACTAGCTGCTTTTGTAAGTATCTAACCTGACTTGGACTTGTGGGGTAGTGGCACCACACGCGCACTGTGTTACTGATCTGCATCGTGCAACCAGCTTCACATGGTGATGGCTATCACCAACTGTAACCTTCATCATCAAGCAGTAAAGTCCTCACCGTGCAAGGCAATACAATGTTGTCAAAGGTTAGTGAGTCGGCTCATCATCAAATGAAGCTCCACTTAGTTTCTACAACCCTGGCATTTTAGTGAGACCGCTGTAGAAACAACAATACTGTGAGGAACAAATGATGCTCCTGACTGTATCTAAAAAGTTGTAAGGTCGCACTTTGCCTAGTCTGCGTTACTTGACAAGACAAGTGCGTTTGACCCTAAAGGGGAAGCGAGTGCAGCGAAGATCTAGAGGTACGCGCTGAAGCAAGGCGCAGGAACATGCGCGCGTATTAGCGCGAAGCGCAGGAAAGTGTGCGCGCGCGTGCGGAAATGAGAAAGAGTAAGCTTAAGTGAGGATATGATGTAAGACAAGAGAAGAGATGTGAAGTATAGACAATTAGATTTCAACTATGTTCTACTAAGTAGTAAGTGGGTAGTTACTTATGAGTTAGTGCCAAAGTGAAGTTCAGTGGTGAAAAAGTTGGTTGGAAAGTGTGTAGTACTATGTACTGCTGGCGCTTATATAGCGCGCCTAAGCGCTGTAATGCGGAGCCAAAGCACTACCGAGTAGGTATGTAAAGATATATATGAGTGAGAATCCATGATAAAAATAAAGATGGAACAATATGCAAATGAGAGAAATAGAAATATACGCACTAGAGGGCTTGGTGGACAGTGGATGGATGCTTCTGGATGGCTGGCACTATAGGGCGCTCAAGCGCGGGAACGTGCGCTGTCTTGTTACTTAAGGGTCTTATATCAAAATTGTGTATAATGACAACACAATTATACACGGTGAAGACTTCTTGCCAGTCCTTAAGTCCACGGTCTCCGACTTTTCTACTTCATGGGAGGTAACATGGTGAGTTCTTGGGAGGATTTAGTTTGTTGTCCTCTTCTTGTGTAGTCTTATACGAAGTTGTTGTGGAATGTTCTGTGTTCTGGATAAATTCGTTAGGTTTGTTTCAGCCTAGTAGGTCATGTTTCAACCTATGAAAGTCTGTTTCAACTTTGTCGTCCTTAGATGTGTCTCACTTTCCGTTGAAAGGGAGAGTCTTATGAATACACGTAAAGCTTAGAATGAGAGCTGTTCAATGGTTATATAGTCAACCCCTGTAAGGTAGTATATAACCTAGAGTAGAATAACGATAATGAAAGTTATATAGTCGACCCCTGTAAGGTAGTATATAACTTTAGAATAGATAATGATATCTTAGATTACCTCAAGGCACTTATATTGGCCTGCACTTTAAGTCTTAGTGGTCTCACACAGTTTGAGATAAGAGTCAAGTGGGAGGATTGTATTTCATGGGTGAAAATGGGGTCCTTTTATACCTTTTGGGAACCCCCTTACTAAGCATGATTAATCAGATGGATTGGTAAGAATGTGGCTTACAAACCAGGTGATGAATCAGCTTATTACTAAGTACATTACAAATACAGTGTAATCTTACAAAGAAATTACAAACCATGACAAACCATGACTAAACATGTTGAGTCATGTTAAATGTTGTTACAAAGCATGGCCAATCATGACTAAACATGTTGAGTCAGCTTAAATAATGTTACAAACCAGAATATTTCCCAGTCACATGATGTGATGACAAATAAAAGCTGGTGGCTGAAAGAAGCCAAATAAAAATAAACAGTCAGAAATAAATAGAGATACAAAACTTGGTGGCTGAAAGAAGCCAAATAAAAATAAACAATGAGAAATAAACAGAAGGTCACATGCTTGATACAAATACAAGGTAAAATAAGCCTGTAAAGTGAGAAATAAAAAACAAGACAATGAAATAAAGGAAAAATAGAGAGGTAACTTAGTGACAAAGGGCTAGACAGTCTCTCATATCTTCCTTATCACTCTCTATATATATCTGACATGGTATGAATCACATACCATGCATGACAGCGCGCGCGTATACATCGTGAAGCATGGGAAGAGTGCGCGCATGGCGCGCATTGCGCGGGAAAGCTGCACCTCATAGTGGAATACCTGCGAATAGCACACAGAGTGATGCTGCAAGTTTGTGCTATGTACTCCTAGTGTAAAGCGCCATATCACACCATGAGAGGCATGAGTCTCTACACTGCACTCTTTGTCTTTGTCAAAAACAATGGTGTTTTGGACCATACAACAATGATGATTCATCTGTGCACTACTGCACTATAGTATATAATCCTGTTAGCATTTTGGAAGGGGTGAGTCACATCGTTCAACCCTAACATGTCTAACGTGAGTCCCAGTTCTCCAAGCCAGAGTCCTTCTTGCCTTATTAATGCAGACCAACATGAAATCCTTGAACATCATTATCCTCATGCTGGCTACTGGTTCAACATGCTTCCAACTCATCCTTTCATCCATGGACCTCCAAGTCAGCCTTTGCAGACTCAATTCCAAGGTTCTGTCAGCATGCCTCCTCAGTATTTACTTCAAGGGACACTACATAATCCTGATGGTGTGGTCTGTCCAGATCCAGCCACTGCGCTGTCAACTCAACAGCCATGTCACCACAGCACAAATACAGTGATTTGTAAGTACATCCACTGTATTGTGACACAACTAGACAATATCTAATATCATGTGTGGATAGCTGTTGCCAACATTGATATCTCCATACCATTAAATACTGGAGTTGTAGGTGGACGTATCAGCCATGTCCAGATCCGCCTTCCTGTTGATATTCTGTTTGAAGACTTTTTTTCACATATTTGTGCCAAAATGGACCTGGACCCAGCAGGTGCTGAACTTGGCTACAAGTTTCACAACAATCAAGTCCAAGATGCCCCTCATCAGCTCTCCAATGAACAACAGCTTTGGGAGGCATTTGAGCAGGGCTGTGACCTCATCAAATGAGCTTGAAGTCGGTGAGTAGTTCTTGAAATACATGACCTGGTAAGAGAATATTCTAGTGTTTGAGTATTGCCCAACAACTAACTCACTATTAGAAGCCAACTCATCAGGTAGCATCTGCCACCCGTGCTCGTCGTGATGAAGCTGTCAATGACAGTCAAGACCCTCCAACTTCCATGAGCTTTGCCTCCAAGCTGCAAGAGCTCAAGAATACACTGGAAGCATGAAAGACTTTTCCAGCATGAAAAATCTTGAAAAAATCCTAAAAAAGGTTTAAATAAATTTCATGATTCTGTTGCCTGCAAAATGCTGGTCAAAATTTGAACTTTCTATCTACTTTTTCGTGATGCAAAAGGTTGATCTTAGTTAAATCTTAAGTCACTGTTCATCCACAATATTGTCTCAACACGTAGTTTAACCATTTGAATAATTTTTCTCTGGTACAAACCTAGACAAAACTTTGACTTTGTGGTGTGATAGTGAATAAACTTTTGAATAACTTTTGTCAACATTTGTTCGACCATAAAAGTTGATGTTTTTATCACCCTTTTTTTAATGTTTTTGTTACCTAGATATCTTGGATGAATTTTTTATAATGCATCAGATAATATTCAATGTAGTAATCAAGCTTAGATCAACATTTTGTCTCTCACTTTTGTTTACCTTTGTTCAAGATTCAAGCAGACTTCTTATGCCGTTATTATTTTATATCAAAAACAATGCAATGCATTAACTTTGTTACAGTTAGATATATTAATCTTACAGTGAATCAAAAGTTTGTTGGGATTTAGAATGCTTTCAGGAGAGAATTTTGTGTTGTAACATCAGTTAAAGCTTATTAGTATTTTAAGTGTGGTCAGGAGAAGGATTTAAAATGATGTCACTAATCTATAACAAATGAGATGTTCCGATATGGGTGTCTCATCTGCACTGCGCAAGTTTGCTTGTATTTTCTTGTCTCATCCACTTTGCTGGTGTACCAGTGAACATGGGAGACTGTGAGGTACGGTATCTGAATATTTGATGGACAACATTATCATCACCTGTGTCCTCTAAAAGAAATCTGAACTGTTTGACTGTTTCTGTCCTGCATGATGCTGCCCAGCACATTGAATGTAAGTGGTCAGAGGCACAACTGAAGGTCAAAGTGTTAATGCCATTTTGTGACATTTTGAGGTCCTGTGGACAGAGCTTACAAGTTTGTCACCTGAGGAGCTCACACAGTGTTTCATAATGCAGGAGGCGAGCGGCTGCTCAACATCCTCAGTACGACATCAGGAAATAACATTTGACTACAGGTGGCTATATAGTCACTGTAGTCCCATGTGTCAAGTCCCTTCTACATGTAGCTATATAGCCACATTGCTCAATATATAGCGCTATGAGAGTCACTGGTAGCTACAGGCTGCAATAACTAACACTAGTAGGACCTCATAGTTATGAGGCAAAAAAAATATCAACAGTGCTCACATCACATGATTATATTTCATATATCACACACACATTATAATGTACAATTGGTAGGAATTGAACCCAACACCTTGGGTGATTATAAGTGCCTCATTTTACAACTAGGCTACAAGACTACTTGTATATTCCTACAATAATAGAAATATATACCAATGCACTACAACAATATTGCGAAAACTCCATTAAGTCAATTATCACACGGTTTAATGAGTCAGCAATGCTTCAAAATGGTGGCACATTAGAGCACCTTCCTTTTGATTGCAACAAGTCTCTTGCTCGACACACCAACTCCACCGCAATGCTACTGTCATCCATGTCAATGAAATTGTATGACCATGTCACCTAATACCGAAGAATATGAGGTGGCGAGTGATTTTTATTTTAATGAGTTCATTGACAGTGAGATGTTTGGTGTGTCTGTTATAAGCATAAGTAGTTTGTAGTAGACTGTTAACAGGTTAATATCACACAAGCACTGTAGCTGCCTGGAGTGACATGTAGCAAATATTTCTCCATCACACACAACAATAATACAACAATAGTGTCCTAATTCTGGGAATACAATGTACATATCACCATACTTCTAGTCATGCTTATAGTAAGCGAGCCAGAAGCGAGCCAACTCAGCATCAAACCTCCATGAATCAATTAAGTGAATTAAGTCACAATAGTTCAAAGTGTCAACGTACCATGTCTGCTTTGCTGTCTCTGCTATATTAGTGTCTTGCAGTGACATGCGACGCAAGAGACACTGTTCCAGCATAAATTGATACAAATCCAGGTGCAGCAGGGCATTGGTAGTTGTGTAGTTATATCGAAAAATTGCTGATTGGATTGGCTCATAGACAGTGGCCATCTCTTCGTCACGTTCCAATAGTGACCAGCTGTTACATATGACTGGGTCAAATTGAAAAAGGGTTGAAGAGGAGCTCATCTGAGGTCGCAAATCAATTCCTTGAATGTCCAATGACATCTTCCAGGTATATCGATCACCAACAGTACGGGTCACATGAGGATAGAAGGAGGCTGACAAGGATGTGTCCCCAAGAGGTAGGGCAGAAAGCCATTGGAAGCCCCGTTGACCATACTTTATTGCAACACTAACATCATGTAGTGGCCTTGCCCGCCAAACCTGAAGAGTGCTCCGGTCTTCAAAGGTAGCTATTGGATACAAGGAATAAGCTGCATCAAATGCTATGAAGTTCATGACACATGCTGCAGACACTCAGAAAACAGTAATCTAATGAAGACTGGCCATGGACTCACTGGAATGAAAATTGATGATGGTGTCAAATGGGCTCATAGTGCATTCTATCACCTGAATCTTCTGGTGGCCACCATCTGAGCCATGTTTCTCAAGTGATAATACTGATTTGACTCCTTTGATTTGATAGTCCTGGCGTATTCGAGTGTTGTCCCATTTATCAGAAACAATCTTCCGGTAATCTTGGGGTTGCCTGGAATGCGGTTTGAACTCGTAGCCTTCCTTTTCCACAATATAGTCCATAACCTCTCTTGCATGTCCTGGATGGACATACATGTCCATGTCAGCTTCATCATAGACTGTCCTATCCAGAAACTGCAGTGCATTTGAGCCTGCAATAAGTGTACCAGTACGTGCCTGTAAACTACGAAAGAGGAGCGGTTGGCTGATGAAGCCAGAAAGATGTCGGTTAATGTTGAAAGCGCGCCTAGAGTAGTCTTTGGATGCAGCATATGCAGCATGACAGCTGTGCCCAAGGCGCACAAGCTCGCGAGGTGAGATGTAAGAGAAGATGTTGTCGTAAACTGGAGCACGACAGAACACTTCGACTATCACGCATTCATCCGCAAACTGAGGTTGATGACCGGCGAGTGATTCGGACATGGAGGTTCCAGAAGTTGAGAAAAAAAGACTCGACTGACCGGGTAACTAGTATTAATATATAGCATGTATTGATGGCATTGATTGCACGGATGATATTTAGTGACCTGTGAGTTTGAACAAAGACATCAAAGGTCTATGCTAACGACATCGGAAGTCGACAAAGCCGGCTAACTCGAAAGAGATACAGCTCATTCACTATCTATTTAAACATAAAGAACCTTTAGCGTGCCACTTGTTTGTACAGCTCATTCATGCATCTATGTATTTAAACATAAAGAACCTTTGACTACAAGCTTGAAACGCTGATGTCAGGACGAATGACGATACGATCATAGTGAACCTTTGACCTACAAGCTTGAAACGCTGTCAGGACGGATGACGATACGACCACTAGCGAGTTCGACCCCAGACCTCTCATCCAACACATTTACAGTATTCTCGTCCTGACATCCATCAAGTCCCGAACAGAAGTCACATCTTTGACTTGCGCAATGATAACACGATCTGGCGCGACCCTTTTGTATTCTCCGCCGCGCTGCGGCACTAGTAAAAATGCGCCAAAAGGCTGCTCAAGACAAACAAGTAACACAAGTAACCATAATGCTCGCGATTCTGGATCATCCACCACAAGAGAATGGCTAGGTGAATCATTCGACGGAGAAGAAGGTGGCGTCCAATAACTCCCTTCGTTCTCCATATCGTCTTGCAGATCCCAGGAGACTCGATATGAAGTCAAGCAGACGGACTTGACAACCTGCTAATCACTACCAACGAGCCAGATTGTTCAGTTTTCGTGGACAAGGCCCAATCAGCGAACCTTGGTGCC